AACATTGCATGATCGAACTTTTCGTGCCACTGTTTAGGGGCTTGTTTCAATCCATACAATGATTTAATTAATTTACAAACCTTCTTTTCTTGGCTTGGAACACGAAAACCCTCGGGTTGTTCCATATAGATTTTTCGTCTATATCGCCATTTAGAAAAGCGGTTTTTACGTCCATTTGATGAACTTCCAAATTCTGCAAAGCGGCAATCGCTAGTATCATCCTAATGGAATTTATTCTCGTCACGGGAGAATACGTGTCAAAGTAATCATGGCCCTCGCGTTGCTTGTATCCCTTGATTACAAGTCTGGCCTTATACTTATCAATGGAACCGTCTGGTTTCATTTTACGTTTAAAAATCCACTTGGATCCCAAAGGTTTACATCCCGGAGGGAGATCAACCAATTCCCACGTGTGATTTTTAAGGATAGAATCCACCTCACTTTTGATGGCTTCTTTCCACATAGGACCTTCGGTAGACATCACGGCTTCCGTATAAGTCCGTGGTTCATTTTCTACCAAACATGTTAGAAAATCCGGTTCATTTTCTACCATACATGTTAGAATATCCGAGTCAACTTCTACCAGGTAGGTGAGAAAATCCGGTCCGAAGGATTTTTCAATTCTAGCACGTTTGCTACGTCTGGGTTCGGGTTCTTCTCCGGATCCCTTGCTAGTATTTTCCATAGCTACGTCAAATGTTCGTTTTGACGTGCTAGGCCCTTCGTTGGACTTGCATGGAAATACATCTTCAAAGAATGAAGCATTCCTTGATTCAATTATTGTGTTTTTATGTACATCCGGATTATTCGAATCGTACACTAAAAACCGATAAGCACTACTATTTTGTGCATATCCAATAAAAATACAGTCCACCGTTTTTGGACCTATTTTTATTTTCTTAGGTGTTGGTACAAGCACCTTAGCAAGACACCCCCACACTTTTAAATATTGATAGGAAGGCCGTCTGCCTTTCCACAACTCGTACAGAGTATTATCATATTTTTTCCGAGGAACCTTATTTAAAAGGTAATTGCTTGTCAGGATTGCTTCGCCCCACATATTTTGTGGCAAGCCCGAACTTACTAGCATCGCGTTCATCATATCTTTCAATGTGCGATTCTTTCGTTCGGCAACACCGTTTGATTGAGGTGAATAGGGTGCGGTACGTTCGTGTACTATACCCACACTAGCGCAAAAGTCACCAATTGGTGCTTCATACTCACCACCTCGATCACTCCTAACCGTCTTAATCCGTCGATTAAGTTGGTTTTCCACTTCATTCTTATAAAGAATGAATTTATCGATTGCTTCGTGTTTATTTTTTAATAAATAAACGTAGCAATAGCGAGTGCTATCATCGATAAAGGTAATAAAATATTTATTACCGCCACGTGTTTGTATTGATTTAAAATCACAAACGTCACTATGAATTAATTCAAGTGGTTCCGTTTTTCTTTCAACTGATTTGAAAGACGTTTTCGCTAGTTTTGCCTCTACACAAACTCCACATTTGTGCTTCACATCAATTGTGAATTTAGGAATGTGCTCCATGTTAATTAATCTACGTATAGAATTAAAATTAACATGTCCTAGTCTACCATGCCACACATTGGAAGACTCAAGCAAGTAAGCAGAAGGGATTTTATCATTATTAATAATAATAGTCGTTACATTGAGCTTAAACAGCCCGTCACATGCATACCCCTTGCCCACATACATTCCCGACTTAGACAAAACTAATTTGTCCGACTCAAAAATCATGCGAAAGCCATGTTTGTTCAACAACGAACCGGAAATCAGGTTTTTGCGTATTTCCGGAACGAACAAAACTTGATTTAGAGTCAGCTCCTTGCCCGAAGTCATCTTCAGGACCACCTTGCCCACGCCTTCAACCGCGGAATGAGCCGAGTTACCCATCCACACTTTCTCACCATTTGATGGCTCAAAAGTTGTGAATAACTCCCGGTTTGAGCAAATGTGTCGGGTTGCACCGGTGTCCACAAACCACTCCTTGGAATTGGATCCAACGAGGTTGACTTCCGTAACCACAGCCGCTAGGATGATGTCTTCATCCTTTTGCCCACCTTGCACCAAATTGACTTGGGAGTCTTTCTTCTTCCGTGGTGCCTTGCAATCCGAGGACTTGTGTCCATTCTTGTTGCAATTGAAGCATTTTCCATTGAACTTCGTCTTGGAAACGCCTCCCTTGGGACCGAGCTTGCTCTTCCCATTATTTTTATTTTTGGAGCCTTTTGCATGCTCCACCACGTTGGCCTTGGCGCCATGAACAATTGGGAGTTTCCCATCGTTCTTCCGGTTATCCTCTTCAATCCGTAGACGGAGGATCAATTGCTCCAAGTTCATTTCCTTTCGCTTATGCTTAAGGTAGTTCTTGAAATCCTTCCAAGCCGGCGGCAATAAATGAATAATTGATGCCACTTGGAAAGACTCACTAACTGTCATTCCTTCATCTCGAATTTCGTTGAAGATCATTTGCATTTCCTCAACTTGACTCAAGACCGTCTTCGAATCCAACATTTTAAAATCAAGGAATCGACCAACAACAAATTTCTTTGCGTCGGCATCCTCGCTTTTATATTTGTGGTCCAAAGCATTCCATAGCTCCTTAGTCGTAGCTAGTTTGCTATACACGTCATACAAAGCATCATGCAGCCCGTTCAACACATAGTTTCGGCAAAGGAAGTCAGAATGCTTCCAAGCTTCAACCGCGTTGAAAGATTGCGCATCCACCTCACCCCCGGTTGCTACCGGCGCATCTTCGGTCAAGAATCTAGCAAGACCGAGAGTAGTGAGGTAAAATAGCATCTTTTGCTGCCACCTCTTGAAGTTTAACCCGTTGAATTTCTCGGGTTTCTCCACAGAGTTGCTTGGCACGGTCACCATAGGGATAGCCCTTTGGTTGGCCAAAGCAGATGCACCGCGTTGTGAACTATTGTTCACCGGTGCTCCGCTTTCAGAGTGATTGTCGTTCAGAACATTCTGCCCAACACCAATCTCGTTTTCTTGAGAAGTCATTTTCGTTCTTTAACGTTTTTCCGAAAACACAAAAAAAAAATAAGTTCGTTCACCAAAGTGACAAACTACGATTTAAGATTGTTTACCTCAGTAGAACAATCAAGAAATACGTTTTATGATTGTATCCGTATGATACAAGCTCAACAAATACGTTTTAAGTTTGTTGGGTGTGTTTCGGAAAATTAAGAAAATTAATTAAAATAAATTAATTAAATAAAATGACTAGAGAAAAACAAGAAAGGAGATGTAGCACGATTTCCTTAAAACGTATTTGTTGCCTCCCACGGTGCTAGGAGCGTTGCAACAATCGTTTCCCAGGATACGATGACTACGAACTAATGTTTGAGCACACAAACAAGAGTTCCAGCGAACGAGAACCAAATATGAACACAGAAGGAATTTTGGGAGTAGCTGGAAGAGTTTTTAGCTCAAGAAAACGTGAGGAAAGTGTTGTGCGTTGTCAAAATAAACCGTATCTCTTGAGAGATAGATTTTTGGACGGCATTCGTGTCCGCAGGTCGCCCGCACACACGAGTCGCGGTTTTTCTTCTCCGTTTCGGGATTTGATCGGCACCCCCCCTGCGCGTAAGAGAGAGCCTTTCCCTTTAGCAATCTTAACTCCTTAAAAGAGGCTTCCCTTTATAAGGGGTGAAAATCCCTTGAGTTTTTCGGTTTGGGATAAAACACACTAGAAACTCATCATTTTTCCCAGTTTTTCCATTTCAACGAGTGAACTTCGAGAATCAATTTCTCATTCACCCGTTATCCGTTTTGAGTGTACCACATATCGAATTGTAGCCCTTAACAAGGACAATCCGAAACCACTTTGACCCGACCCAAATCGGAAGTGGACCCCACTCAAATAATTGCCCCAAAATGACCATTTAATGCAATTTTTAACACATTTTTCCAACCGTACATGTAAAATACATGTGTCCATTACTCCATGGATTATACGGATCATAGTATATTTTTACCCATTATATTTTTATCCAGTTAATTTTTAAATCATTAATTCACCCACATATATATTAGTATACTTAATTATAACATCACATGTAGTACGTACTATTAAACAACAAAGAAACATACACTAAAAGGTATTAATGTCATTTTTTGTCTTTTTATCTATTCATAGCTAAAAGTAAATAACTAAGTTACCAAATATATTTCTACAATCCGCCAAATTAATCTGCCGATCAAATCCGTTGAATCAATTGACCGCCATTTAGAACCCACTATTATTATCCACTAACCGCTAATCGCGTACCGTTGATCGCCAAACAAGCTGTAATAATGAAAAGCTCTAGAGAATTTTAGCTTAGAGAGAAGAACTTTTGAGCACTTTTTTAGTATTCAATTGATTTGAGTACGAGTATTTGGATCGAGATTTGTTTTTTAAATTTTATATTTATGTGGAGCGTTGATTTTACATTTATAACCGGGACCTTCAAATTATAGTGCCTTCTCTCAAAGCTTCATCATATGATTGTTCTACCTTATAATAGTGGCACCTTTTAATCTTTCAAATGAGCTTTTTTGCACAGTAAGTGAATTGAATTATCAAAAGTATCATTAATTATAATAATATTTGAACCATCAAAAGTGTAATTTTTGAAACAATCAAATGATTTGATATTGAAAAACTCATATACCATTACCAAAATGTTTATGTCGCATCACTGTAATCGGAAGAGACTAAAATGACAAAGAATCTTGTTGACTTATATACTTAACATAGTTCCAAGTTATACATAACTTACACAATAAGGTACTTAGTATATAATATGATATCGTAAAAAGACCGCGATTGACTACCATAACATCAATAACACGCAAAAGTTATACTCCGATCCATATCATCATATATTCTAAAGAATATGAAGTCTTTATTAAAGAACATTAATTACTCTCTTGGAAACTTCAATATATATTCTCCAATGTCTACCCAATGATTAAAAGATAAAACACTCTGACCCATCCTTCCATAAATAAAACTAAATCTCACATACAAACGCCAATCAGCATATGCGATATCAAAACATGGGCTCGAGTCAAAGCACAAAAAACAGTAGATCAAAATCATCTAATAGTAAAAGAAGAGTGATGAACTCCTCCTCATCAAGCCCAACCACATATCAAAGCAAAAAAATGATGGCTCCTACAACATCCTCGTCATCTGTGGGGTGGCGGCATGATCATCATTATCATCATCAACTAAGAAATCACGTCACGACCATTGCTGACAGTAATGCAATTGGTCATGACCATAGTGTGCAGGCGGCTGATGATGATATTGATATCAAAGCTGAAGATTACATCAAGCGCATTCGAGAGAAGTTTCAATTACAATGTCAAGAGGAGTAGGTTGGTGAGATAAATTTGAACTGAATGGTGTCTTTCAAGGTGTAAAAGAGGATAAAAGTCCATGGCAGGTTACACTTCATTTGCCTTATCATAAGTCATAACACACTCAATTAGTAAAACTACCATGTACCTACTCATAGTATCAAACTATATATGGGCCCAATCCCAATGTAATGTGTAAATTCTACTCCGTGTTCCCTTATAACTTTATCAATGTTTCTCTTTCGATTTCTTTAAAACTTGACCACGTCCTCTGGTCTTTTAAGTAATTACTTTGTGCTTCTTTTTATTATTAATTTGTGGTTCATATTTTATTATTCCATATGATATTCAAATTTGACAAAGATATAAGAACCACAAGAAGTATTGCTTTATAGTATTATTATGAATATATTGCAAGGGGCCAGATGGGTAATATGTCTTTTTAGTTGCAACAGTCAACATTTCACGTTTGCCAATGCACAACTTTGACCGTCATTATATTTAATTATGTATTAGTAAAAATAAAATAAAAATCATATTATAAAACTTAGTAATGAGACGAATTTAACAATATTTTTCAAAAAATATAATTTACATATATCAATAAATAAAAATGTAGCCAAAGTAAAGTATATGAATAGTGTATATATTCCAATGTTGTGATTAATGAGATACGGAGGATAGTATATATGTTTAATTTGAACAATTTATTTGAATAGTTATTATAGATTTTATTTGAATAGTTGTTATAGAAATAATAATTCTTTTGCAATGGTTGTTAATAGATAAGTATATCACTGTAATTATAACAGTACATATATAGTGCATCCTGGTGTACGTACACCCGGCTCAAGTAAGAAAGATAGCCCAATCACTAATTAAGGCCAAAAAAATCGGTGGCATTTTTGTAATTTAAGCGAAAAATCACGATTTTCGCTAAATGAGCAATGGTGTAATTTTAATGAGCACCTGACCTATCTTATTGAGTATTTAAGAGGCTAACAATGAGTTTCACGATCCCTGCTTCATATCTTCTAATTCTTTTTTCTTATTCTTAATTTTTCTTTTATAAGAACTTATTAAATTATATCTATAATACACTCCTATTAATTTCAGTATGCGAGTATAATGTCATATGTTACTTTTGAAATATACATTGACACAACATTTTAAAAATGAGCATAACATCATACCAAATGAGTCTAATATTGAGCATCATGATTTCTGCTTCAGAACTTCTGATTCACTTTCTTTTTGTTCTTTTTTCTTTTATAAAAACTTATAAAATTATACTTATAATTAACTCCTATGAATTTCAATACGTGAATCTAACGTAAAATAATACTTTAAAAAAATGCATTCATATGACACTTAAAAAAGAGCAATAAATCAGTACCAAATGAGCATACATAACTTACAAAATGTTCATTGATGTGAAAATCGAAAGGTTTGTTAGTTTGACATAATGACTTTTTCATTGAGCATCAAACCTCCTCTATTGAGATGAAAATCATAGTTTCTGTTAAATGAGCATTAATAAAATTTTAATGTGCATCAAAAGGATTGGTGTCCGATTTTCAAAAGTCAAAGCAAACAAAAATCAAAAGGATAATTCTCTGCTATTAAAAACTAAAAATGTAAGGCCAGAAGACATTTAATCAAGTGTTTGTTGTTTTTTATGTGCTCCTATATCTATAATCAACTCCTACATGAATCTAAAAAATAAACCGAAACATTTAATAATATTTTATATGGAGTATTACATATATTCATAATAATTGAATATAAAAAAGGTTGCTAAAAAAAAGAAAAGAAAGGAGAACAAACAAAAAAACAAAAAAAGAAGAATAAACAAAATAAAAGTAAAGTAAGGAGACTTACGAAATAAGGGGAACGTGAATGGAGCAGCGGCGGAAAAAGAAAGTAGTTCACCACTTCAGCTTAATAATTATCCTTCAACTTGCTACTAATTTCAAAAATATCGGGTGTACATGTACACCCGGGTGTAGGATATATTTTGCCTAATTACAATCCCTTCAATAAAAATTGTAATTTTAATAATTTTGACAGTAAAAGAATAACATTAAAGATAATGATAGTCAAAACTTTACGTTTTCATTTTTGACTCGCGGGCCAACCCGTAATTCGTGGGGGTCAACCCACTTAACCCACATGGGTTGACTGGTGAAACCCACAAATTATCCGGGTCAGAAAATGACAACCTAATCCATCAATAAATGGGTTAAAACTTCTCTATCAAGGACTCACCACATCTTTAGTAGATTTTTGTTCTGGGAATCACTTGAGCGTAGCTTTGAAAAACTCTCATTGAGCTATTTATGGTTAGTTTTATGACTTCTATGTAATGAATACGTAAACAGATAGTCTTAAATTGCTTGATTAATTTGTTTTGAAAAAACTTGATTTGAAATATTAATCCTAGGTTATTAGATTTCCGGTTTATTACCATATGTGTTGGTATTAAGTCAAGCAATAGATATTACCATCTTTTGCAAATTCTTTGCTCCAAAGTTTTCATTTTTCGCTTTCAAAATTCTCCATGATGTTCACATGTTCTTATATCTCTTCTACTACTTAAGTTTAAGAGAGAACATTGTCAATTATATGGAAAAATAAACACACCGAACACAGAAAAACTAGCCATTCAAAAGCATTTGTTTAAAGATTTAAATAAAAAGAAGCCGCCAAAGTAATATTACAATTAGGTCATACTACCTCCGTCCCAAATTGATTTACAAAATTCCTTTTCTTGGTCAAACAGTTTCATTTTATTCACTTAATTGGGGCGTCAATTTTTAATTGTATTTTAATTTGGAGTTTCCAACTTTGAAGAGAGTTTAATGTAGTTTCTGAATATGTAAATTTTAATTATTAAAAATTGAATTAATTATCAATATCTCTAATATTGAAGAGGATTTAACTTTAACATTGGTTGACAAAAAAAAATGTTGACTTCGCAAATCAATTTGTGACAAGGGAGTAGTTAATTTTTGAAAGCTACCTTTCAATGATTTATAGAACAAAACCAATTGAGGTCCTTGGGGAGTCTGTTGTAGAGAATCAGATCTTTAAACTTTGATAGATGTTGTATCTGAGATGAGATTTGCAATGATAACTAGAGGAGTAACTAAGCTATCTGAAATTTCAGAATAAGAGAGGAGAGAGCGAGATTGAAAGTGAGAGTGAGAGCGTGATAGAGAGAGATTCAGTGTGCGAGAGTGAGAGTAAGAGCAAGAGAGAGAAATAGAAAGCGATAACGAGTTTTTGAAGTAGTAAAATAAGAAAATTTAGTAAGTATTCTTTTTTATTTCTATCCCCACTTAACCGTTAGTGAATGAAAAAATAAATAGACCGAAAACATAGAAAATCTTAAAACCTAGCTAGGAATGATATTTCAAATCAGGGTTCTCAAAATGAACAAGTTTAGCCATTCTAAAGCGTTTCTTTGACGATTTAATTAAGTAGTTTCCATTAAAGTAATACTCCATATTAGAAGTAGCTCACAGTAGAATTCCTAAAGCTACCTTTTAATAATTTATAGAACAAAACCGATTGACCTTGGGGAGTCTATTGTAGATAATCAGATCTTTCAAGCTCGACCTTGAAGACCTTGTATATCGGGTAGAACTTGCAACTGCCAACGGTCAATTATAGAACAAAATTAAATGTCAGACCTTTATTTCTGAGTTTGTAACTGTCACCCCTCAGTTATCTGTATTGTTGTAAATGTGCTCTTTTCACGGTGAAATGTAGGACGTGGATGAGGAGTGAATTTCATCCCTCAAATTTACGATCTCGAAAATATGACTATTTCAGCTCGTGCAAACTATTGGGAAAGTCTTGGGGGAAGGAGGATGGTGGCGGCTCATGGAGTAAACAAGACTGTGGCACCGGCGGATCCTCGTTTGAAATGTAAAATATTGGTGGCTCATAGTGTAATCAAGATGGTGGCAGACAGGGGCGGATCTAGCTTTGGCCTCCTGGTGGGCCCAAAATTTAATTAAAAATGAACATTAAAAATACATTTATTTTAGCAACAAAATCAAAGACAAAAATAAAGATTATAGGAATAAGAGTTTTCATTAAAGTCAAATACAAAAACACCATAATTTTACAACTGTTCTCTACGAGTTTTCATCGATTGATAATGACATCATTGTCAATTTTCAAGAAGATGTCTTTTTCTACATAAACAATAAGTCTATCATTGAGCCAATCATCACTCATCCAGTTGTTCAACTTATCTTTCACGATATTCATTGTCGGTCATAACATTGCCCTCTTAATCTAGATATGCTCAAGTTGTGTCTAGAAAATAGCGTATCAATTGCTTCCTTAAGTGCAAGTGATGTGGTACTAGTGACATTTTCAACTCCAATAAATCGTTCTTTCACATGTCCACCAGAATCAACACAACGCATCACAGATGACATTTGCTCTTTTGTTGATACATCACGTGATTCATCAACTAGAATAACATATAAAGAATCTCCAATATCTTGAATGATAACATTCACCGTTTCAATAGCACAAGCATGCGCTAAATCTTTTTGAATGCTAGGTGCAAGAAGTTTACAATTTCCAGGTGCATTATCCATTACTACAGAAGCTATATCAACATTATGATCTCTTAAAAATTCCATGGTCACTAGAAAATTACCTGGATTTAGAGAGTCTTCAAATTCATCATGACCACGGAAAGGTAACCCCAACCTCAACAAGTACCGCACACAATCAAGAGATGTTGTCAGTCGAATGCGATAATCAACATTCTTGATTTATTTGCAGAAACCATCTTCATCGGGAAGTCATGCTCAAATGGTTGACAAGGGCCTTTTTGCAAATATGCTCTTCGAACGTGATCTCTAATATTTGGATGATATCTTGAGATCGGTATTCTCAATCCAGGGTCAGATGGAAGTGGGGAAGAATCAAACTCATTAGCGGTGACTGATTGTAGGATATTTACGTTATTTTGTTCGTCATTTGTTGTTGTCTTTTCTTGAATTGTAGTTGACGGCACTACAACTTTGGATGAGCTACTTCCATTAGCTTTTTCGTCAATATGGTTATAGTATCTCTTCATTACCTTTATTGAAAATAACGAAATGACTAATTACTACACTTAGGACTTAGGCAGCAGTTCTCACTTCTCATGAATCAGGCACATCCTCACATAGCATTGTGTTCTTCATAGTTGATTTGCTTCAGCCGATACTTTGCAATACAGTAACTTATATTCACTGAATCACTGGCTCACTGCACAACAAGTATCAATACTAATTCAGATTATCCAAAAACAAATACTGATTCAATCAATTAATACAAATACTATTATACTAATCTTGAACAAATTTGATAAAATTCAATAAATTAAATAAAATGTAAAAATAAAAGGTCGGAAATTAGACCTCTATTGAGCGGATTTGACCCAATATGAGCCGACAAAGGATTGGACTATGAGAGTAGGAGGGGCGGCGTTCGACGGAGTTCGGCCGCTGCAGACTGCAGTTGGGGCTGACTGCTGAGGTCCTGCGTGCGGCGTCACCGGCGTGCCTGCGTGATGTCTTGGGGGACGGTCGCCGGTCGGACGGAGGTTTTGCCAGGTCATTTACTCGTTTTGCCGAAATCATCGAAGGCTCGAAGGCCTGTTTTTGCCGTTGGGGGTTTTCATCGAAGAAGAAAGAACACGGCTCCGTGCTGGACTGCTGGGAGTGCTTGCTGCTTGGACTTGGAAAGTTGGACTGGGCCAAATTTTTTTAAAATTGAGACTGGGCCTGATTTATAAACCTATATACTACTTAAAAAAAGTTTCAGCATGGGCCTAGGTCCTCCCTGGCCATAGGCCCAATCCGCCCTTGGTGGCAGATCATCGGTGGGCGTAGCTCAACTGGTAGCGAGGGAGTGCCACAAGGGTTAGGTCCCGAGTTCGAATCTCGACAACTGCGATGAGAGGTTACTAAGCTAAAAATGCATAGGGCCTCTGCAAGTATCAGGGACAGAGCCACACTCTCTATCTGTCGGATTGTGATTATAGTCCAATTTACATCTTCTCAACATACCGTCTGGTCGAGGTTGGGGTGTCATCCTTTAAGATGGTGGCAGATCCTCTTGGGGAAAGTAGGATGGTGGTGCACGACAGGCTTGTGGTTCTTGCGAATTATTGGGAATTGCCAAATACTTTGTACTTCGTATTAGATAATCTAATTATTCTAATATCGAATACTTATTTTATTTAATACAAATTTCTTGATCTTTTTATTATCCAGTTAATCTAATTTGACAATTTATATTTGAAAATATGAACATTTAGTTTAGTCATTAAAAATCTCAAGCTTTGTTGATTGTTGGTTTATTAAGACCATAAGTAAGAGTTACCGAGTATTTATTTGTTGTCACTTAATCATCTACAAATAAACTACAAAAATGATGTTTGTACACACTCTTATACACACTTTTGCACACACCTATGTCTGTGAAAGTTTTTTTTTGTCTGTGAACATCGATTCACAGACAATGTGTTTTGCACAAACAAAATATTATCTGTGAATCGGATTCACAGACAAAAAAAACTTCACAAACATGGGGTGTATAAGGTGTGTACAAGGGTGTGTACATCAAGAATGGTTGAATAAACAATTGGTGTATTACAATTTACATGTACTGATGTACTTTATGGTAAGTTATATTTTTATAGGACGTCTGGACTATAAGCTAGAGCATAGTTCTTGAACACTTTGTATGTTTTCACCACATGTGTTATGGAAGTAAAATAGCTTTGTTGCATTTAAAACTATTTTTTTATAATCCCTAAATTTTAGGGCTTCATCTTTAATTTGGAACGGGACCTTCAATATCTCGAGGCCGGCCCCGACTTTGAAGATGACATGACAATAAAAAAGAAACAGATATGCTAGATTCCAATATCTCATAAACTCAATTTTTTTGATTCATATATGGTAGTCCTTCCCATTTTCCAATAGGGCAATTGAAACTTTGAAGTTTTTGATAAATTTCATACCTTCTCAAATTTCATGATTTCAGGGATTGGATTTGACAAAAAATAAGAGATATTATCCGAAATAGGACTAAAAAAATTTGAAAATTCCAAAATAGGACTGCCATATTTTTATTTCCAAAATAGGACTAATTACTGTCATGTTTTGACAGTACCAAACTTTAAACAGTCAGTATTTTCTAAACATGACAGTAAGTAGTTCAATGTTGAGAATAAAAAATACGACAGTCTTATTTTGAAATTTTGAAAATATATTGTAGTACGGGAATTTTCTCCAAAAAACAATGTCTAACCTGTCTCAATATGGTACACAAAAACCTAATACTACTTACAAGATATACAGGAGTAAGCAAAAGCTAGATATTCCTAACCAAGGAAGACATCACAGATATATTCAGAGAGAAAGAATCACCATGGAACAGTGGCGACATCTCTGAACATCGTCTCTATCCCATCTTCGTTGCTGTAGAACACCGTCTCCTCATCCAAACTCCTCTTCTCCTCCTCCACCTTCAACCGTTTCCTTCTCATATCCTTCAGCTGGGCTTTTAAAACGGCAAGCCTTTCTCTTCTCTGGGATGCGGCTTTCTCGGACGATTCATAGGATAGGGTAATGAGTTTCTGCAGCCTGTCACGCAAGAACCGGACCTCCATTCCCAGACACTCGAACCCTTTAAGGGTTGCATCCCATGCTTCCAAATGCTGGCGACCCGGATCCTCTATGAGCCTCGAAGCTCTAATGCCGTCTGCTATGTTCACAATCTCCGAGATGATACCGGAAATGAGCATGCAGTTAAGGCCTTCAATGAGGCGTTGGTGGAGATATGATTTGCGGGTGCGGCAGAGATGAAAGTACTTCTCCCTCACATCTCTTGGGAACTCCGAGTCGATGATTAACCCATTGGCTAAGATGTGGAAGCTTCTGAAGTCTTTCACCTGTGAGAAGTCAGGAGCAGATTCTGCAAATCTGAGCCCACTGCTACTGTTTTCATCAGCGCTGGCGGACAAGTGAGATGGTGACATCGACGGCTCATTTCCATCTTCCATCTTCCCGTGCCTGGTAAGTAGCAAGCACGCCTGCTGGTTTTCTGCAACCATTAAAACAAGTTTTTTGGGCGTTCTTTGCACATTGCTTTTCTGATCTTGTAATAATTAAAGTAAAAAGGGAGACATATTACCAGTTGATGTTGGTTGATGACTTAAATGTAATAAGCTAATGGCTGCAGAGTTAATGTTTGTTGAGGCCATTTCTTTGACAATGTACACCTGAAAGAGGTATCATGAGTAACAAAACAGAAATTTGTCAGTATAGTTAATTGGAACATAACTGACCTAACTGTACTCTAATACTCCGTATTACAACAAGTAGGAAATAAAGAAAGACACTGGGGGTGGGATGAGTGACCTGAAACTTGCAAGGCTGCAAAAGGTGAAAAACTAAAGCATCTCCCGGAACTAAATTGTGGGAGATAGAAAAGCCTCTCCATCCTGCGCTCAGACCGCACCTGTCATATAGGTACTTTATCTTCCACTCTTTAGCATCTTCATCCACCAAAACAACTACAACATCTTGCTTTGGCAAATGAATTTTGCAGAATTTTTTTGGCAGCCCCTTCACCATTTCATAATTAAGACAAATATATTTAGCTCAATAACAGTCATACTGATATATATATATATATATATATATATATATATATATATATATATATATATATATTGACATAATAATGCCAAAAATGATCTAATTCAATTCCTTACCATCCAAAATCCACCAGTAACATACGAAACCAACATGAACCTGACTAGACTTGGAAAGTCTGGTGCAAGGTTTGCTTGAATCTCTTTTGCTCTCCTCATTGCAGTTGAATTCTTGTCAACACTGGTGTACTTCCTCCTAATAACCCCAGCCTCCTGCTCAAATGATTCCAAGCAGTAAACATTCCACAAAAAATGTTTAAAAAACTGATGTGAAAGTGTCAACATTGCACAAGAGGAACATCAAGAAGTATTATTTAAGGAATTTTTTTAATATTGTTATTAGTATTAAAATTATTGTTGTTGTCCTTATGAGCTAGTTTCTTAATAATTTAAATTAGTATGAGATGTATGCTTGATATTGAACTTGTAAAAGTAGTAAGGATGATTGTAAGCAATAAGTGTGAGCAAATTTGGTATGAAACAATTTGTTTCCTTTTTTAACCAAAAAAGTTAACTTAGTTGATGGAGTCAGTTTTAGAATGTATGATTTGATGTTCCAATTAACATCTCTGAATTATAATAGTGTATGCAAAGTTAACTTAGTATATCTTAAATGATTACTCCCTCCGGTCCTAAATGAAATTCACACTTACTATTCATTAGTCAACTTAAATCACTCTTAATGTTTTATTTTATATATCAAATTTAAATTTTCTTGATCAGACTTTGTAGCGGTTTTAATGTAGTTTCTAAATATGTAAATTTTATTTGCTAAAAATAATCCGAGCGTGAACAGGGATCGAGTTGCTTTATCGTCGTAAACCGTGAGTGAATTTCTTTTGGGACCGGAGGGAGTATATGATATCAGTATTATTGAAATATTTTAAAACTTGTTGATCGAAATAAAATCCAAAGAATATTCTAAGTAGTCTTAAAATGTGATGTGTTTTTACTTGGAAGTTGGAACATCTAATTATATCTTCTAAATTTAAATGCATTGATTGGGTTAATTTCGTTTCCTTAAATGAAGGAGGAAAGAAAAAAGATTTTTTTAAAGTTTTTCGTGACAGAAGAGAACTGTTAGTGGGTATGTGTATAAGGCACTCAGACCTAAATGGTGTATCTAAGATTCTTAGTAATCTTATTGTAAAATTTGAACCTTTTCACCACACGAGCTATCTTTCGCTCTTCGCCCTTTGACTAGAGCCATAGTGCAATAATCAAGTAAACATGTAAGTATAGAATTCAGACAAGAACAAGATGTACAATGTGAACACCTTATTTTATGTTTCCAAAGCATCTGGTCATAGACATTTAAGTGTTTGATACAATTCAATGAAGAACTAGAAGTAAATTTAGCTAAGACATCTTATTTTATGACACCAGTGAAGCACTCTGAGGTATCTAGTTATCAACTATGAAGACACTATAATGGTTCAAGGAACAGAAGTGCAATTCAAAAAATAACTAAGATACACTACTGATGAACTAGTTTATTTACCTTGACTGCCGCTTTACCTTTCTTGTGAGAAGAAGACCTCTTGAGCTGCTTCTTAATGATATTCATCTTTTCAATCTGTAAGCATCTCAAAAACGAAAACCAAATTAAGTTAAATAAGTAACAGAATTTGGGCCCCAAATATTCTGGTCTGACACTTTATAAAGTTGAAATTACAACATGAAGAACTAGCAAATGAGTATCTTTTAAGTGTCCCTATGTTGAATTAGCTGATAGGTTGGAGGATTAGAAATTCATAAGGATTTATGAAACTAAGTACTATATGATAAATAGATTCATGTCAAATGATTTGATTGATCTACCAACAAAAGCTCCAATTGGAATCTTAATTCTTAATTAAGCTAAGTAATCAATGCATATCTTATACATTGAAGTTTCATTCTTCTAGAGGAACAAGCAGCCTCTGATCTTCATTTGGTTCTCTAGATTTCTATGGTTCAATTCCATGCTTTCATTTTCCATTTTATGTTTTTACCTTTACAAGTTATTTTTCATTTTCCATATGTTTCCCTATTCTTTTCTCAAGTTTTCGCTTTCCAAATCACCATGATGTTCACTTGTTTCTTATATCTTTTCTACTACTTTAGTTTAAGAGATAACATTGTCAGACAGAACACATAGAAAATCTGAAAACCCTAGGAATGATATTTGAAATCTGGTTTCTCAAAATGAACAGATCTAGCCATTCAAAAACGTTTGTTTAAAGATTTAATTAAAAAGAACCTATTAAAGTAGTATCAGAAGTAGTTCATACTAAATTTTGTAAAACTACCTTTCAATGAATTTTAGAACAAAACCAAATGAGGACCTTGGGGAGTTTGTTGTAGAGAATCGGATCTTCAAAGCTCGACCTTGACCACCTTGTATCTGGGATGAAATTTGCAATGACAGCTATGGAGTACCTAACCTTAATTTCTGATATTCTGGACAAAGTGAGGAGAGAACGAGAGCGAGAGTGAGTGCAATAGCAAAAGCAAAAGAAGGATATAGAGAGATAGAGAGAGCGAGAGAGATAGCGAGAGTGAGAGAGTGAGAGGTAGAGCGAGAGAGATTGAGAGAGCGAGAATGAGAGAGATTGAGAGAGCGAGAACGAGAGAGATAGAGAGAGAGAGCAAGAACAAGAGAGATAGCGAGAGAGAAAGAATGAGAGAGATAGTGAGAGAGCAAGAACGAGAGAGAGAGAGAACTAGAGAGATAGCAAAGGAGGGAGCATGAGAGTGAGAACGAGAAAGATAGAGAGAGCGAGATAGAGAGATAGAGATTTTGAAGTACAAAAACAAGAAAAATTAGCGAGTAGCAGAAATTAGTGTGTGTATTCCTTTTAATTTTTATACCGCCGAACCGTGTAATATAGCACAATGTGTTAACTGTTTCGCACAGTTTACTGAGTGGCAAAATACAATTCTCCATATTTGGAGATATGGGACATTCCACAATCATTTTTAATTCTTCTTATTATGGAAAACAATAATGTCTTATCAGTTTTCTAATTTTGTTTCCAATTCTCCTGAAAAAATAAAGAATATTTTATGTTTAATTAGTAAAGTCCTCTTGTCTCTACAAGTGTAAAGTCAATTGCAAATTTTGTCCCTTGCTTTTTATACCCAATTTCTTTTTGCAAATTCTTTCAGAAAACACAAACAAAATTAGTGCCAATATTTTTAAACTTGTAGTATCTATTATTATTAATTATTATTATTAAGCTCTAAAAGCTTATTTTCATGCATGGAGTGAGTAACATAACACACCAAATAGGGAGAGGTTTTCCTTAAATGCATGCATTAAAATAAAATATATGGACAAGAATTTGATTAAAGGTACCATCATAATCATTCTAATGTAAAGAAGAACATAATCATGATCACTAATACCAAAGTAATATACAAAAATAGGACTTTTAATACTTTAGTGATTATAATAACTTTAGTGACCATGATTATTGTCAATTTTACATTACAGTAACTATGATGGTATAATAATAGTAACTTTAATCACATTCTTGTTCACGTGTTTTATTTCAATAGTAATCAAGGAAAAAACTCTTGTTATTACCTTGAATTGAATATATAATGAACAAGAGAAATCCAAGGGATCTGTAAACTGCCATAAAATTAAAATGTATTTGAATATTCTGATTTATTTGTAGGGGTGGATCTGGTCCTAGTTATGGAACAGAATGGGACAGGGTAATTACAGCATTTTTACAATTCCAGACAAAAAAACTGGTCTACTACCAGTTTAGGTTCCTCCAAAATAAGCCCAAACCAGTTAAGGTTTCAATTTTTTGAAACAGGCTAAAACCTGTGAGGAATAGGACCACAATGGGAACAGTGGGAATGGAGTTGACCATCTTTTCCAGTCTCACTTACAGGTAGCACAAATGTTGGACCCAGAACCAGACCTGTTCGGCTGTTCCATCCCTACTTAACTGTCTGTAGTATGGTGTCTTCAATTGATAAAAGCTCTTCAAAGGGCAACATGCAGCATGGCATCAAGAACCACATACAGACGATCCACACTCCTCATTCCCACCACAAACGGATGAAAGCACTCTAGTGATCAGTTCAGAGCAGCCAACGATCTCACCCATTCTGTTAAGTCCACCATCCCAGGAACAATGCCAGAAGCGCTTTTACCAATCAACAGCTCCAACAAGATGACTCCAAAAGCTTACACATCACTCTTTAACGACGGGCAAGGTTTACTCGTGCTTGCAAACTCAGGTGGCTGGTGGCTCAGTGCAGTAGCAGTTAGTATCTGCTCAGGTGTCCCTGCTGAGGTCATTATCCTGTGGAAGCTATAGTCTGTGAGGAGTGTGATGGCAGTTGATGTTCCAACCAAGACATTCGTGGATTTTAGGTTTCCATGAGGTATGGCGATTTCATGGTGAGGGTAACATAGACGCCTGGCAACATCTACAGCGCGCAATCTTGAGCTGATCCGTAAGCGACAAGGCATTTTGCGTTCTTGGGTTTTTGTCTGCCCAGTTCAAACATTAAGCATGTTAGAGTTTCACTTGCAAAAGTTAATGAAAAAATGACAGGTTTAGAAAATGAGAAGACATTGCATGGGTCGATAAAGGATACTATGCTAGGATGCTTAATGTTTCCCAATTTCTTTACTTCCCTTGCAAAGTCCTTGCTGTTTTTGAGTATGGTATGGTATTGTTCTGTCCCGTTTCAAAACGGAATGATACTGTTACGGATGCATTTTTAGGGACTTCTTTATCGTAGGAGGAAATATAGGGGCCAGCGAGAAAGATAAATAGAAGAGTCAAGCTTGATGTTATCTTTATATTTAATTTAGAGTTTTATTTAGAATAGGACTTGATCATGTAACGGCAGAAGGCCTATTTATAATTCTTTTCAGGAATAATAAACATCATCGATCGATAGAAAAATTAGTCTCCAGAAGTCACGGACTTCCCTGCACTCTTCCAGCCATGGGCAAGAAGAGAGGAGACCCTAGCCGGCAGGTTTCAACCTTACCAGGGCACCCTGCCACCCCAAGCCATTCTCAGCCCCAGTTTGCTAACAATTTGGTATCAGAGCCATCAAGATTCATGGCGCCACCGCAAGGTGATTTAGCCACTATGATGGAGTTTATGGAGGCTATGACTGCTAGGATAACTGCCATAGAAGGGCAGATTGCCGCTCTATCCCTGGCAGTCCACAAATGGAATTCCAAATCAATAGAAACACATGAAGAGCAAGCAGATAACAGCCTGATATCACACAGCACCTCGAATCCTTGGAAGCCACAATATGTGAAGATGGAATTTCCTGTGTTTGATGTTACCTACAATATGGTTGGACTCGGGTCGGGCCACCCGGCCCGTGGACCGGCCCGGCCCGTGGACCGGCCCGGCCCGCTACTGTGCAGGACCGGGACTGGCCCGGTTCTCGGGTCCGGGTCCGGGTCGGGCCTAGGCCCGGAGGGTAGGGTGGGTCCGGGCTCGGGTCTCAAATTTGGTGAACCGGCCGGGTCGGGCCCGGGCCCGGGCCAAATTGATTTTTTTTAATTTTTTTTTTCATTTTTGGGGTTCCACCCGGGTTGGGCTTGATGGGTAGGATGGGTTTGGGGGGGTTTGGGAGGGTGGGGGTGAGGGGGGGTTAGGACAGCAAAAAAAAAAAATCCAAACCAGAGGCCCGGCCCGGATCCGGACCGGACCCGGTGGCTACCCGGGCCGGTCCCGGGTCCACCATTCCTGAACCGCCGGCCCGCCTGAACCGCCGGCCCGCCTGGGCCTAGGCCCGACCCGGGCCTAGGCCCGACCCGGACCCGACCTGGACCCGAGTCCACCCCTGACCTACAACCCTACCAGTTGGTTGAAAAGGTGCAAAAAAGGTGAATATGGTCTCACACAACCCTACCGGTTGGTTGAAAAGGTGCAAAAAAAACTTCATGAACCAAGAAACTCCTAGTGTTGCAAATATGAATATGGTCTCATTCCACTTGCTAGACAATGCACAACTCTGGTTCGATCAGATGATAGAGGAAGAAGGATAAGTCAACCAGGAGAGGTTTAAAGAACTCTGTCTGGAGCGCTTTGGGCCCCCTTTGAGTTCTAACCCGATTGGAGATCTGAAACTTCCAATGCAGATCGGATCAGTTGGTGAGTATTGTGCCCAATTTCAGATGGCCTTAAAAAGAACTTCAAAAATATAGTCCACCCATCAGGCCATCAGATTGCTTTGTTTGTAGCTGGTCTCCATCCACAGTTACGGGCTGATGTGGTAATAGCAAAACCAGGCAACCTGGGTTATGCAATGAACCTTGCAAGGACATTGGAGGCAAGGCAAGCACTGACGCTTGCACCTGTCAAAGTTTCAGGTACTGCAACAGATATGAAACAAAGCAGCAGCCTGCCACAGCTGAGACAAGTGCTCATGACAACAAGGGCAGGAAATTCAATTGTTAAGCGATTACGAAGGATGAAATGGCAGAAAGACGAGCACAAGGGCTATGATATAATTGTGATGAACAATGGACGATTAATCACCGATGCAAAAAGCTTTTCTTGATCGAGATAGAAGATGAGGAAGATGGCCAATACATAGTAGTCAATGTATTTTTGGAATTTGTCCTTGCATTTTCTTGATTGATCGAGAACAAATGAACAATGATATAATTGTGATGAACAATGAACAATAGTAGTCATACTTTCAAATTTGTCCTTGCATTTTTGGAAGTTCCTGTTTATTTATTTCAGCACTTTGAGTTGTTACTATTTAGGCATATACATTGATAATCAATTGCACTTGACTTTAATTTTAGTAAAACTACTACAGTTTCTTATTTTTAACCTATTGGTTGCATATTGTCCAGGTCTGATGTAATGAAGGTATATTAGACGTCTGTACAGTATTCAATTAAGAAAAAGAAATGAAATTGTAGTAGAATATAGTAAAGGACTTGGATGCATGTAATTTTATAAGAAAACTAACAATGGTCCTGCTGTTAAATTGACCACATGCCTGCACTGAAATTGACAGAAGTAAAAAGATGTAGCTGGGATGTACACTCATACCATTATGATACACAAAAACCTAATACAGGATATACAACATTACAGCTAGCCATTCCTGACCAATACAGAGAAATAATCACCATGGAGCAATGGCTACATCTCGAAACATCATTTCTACACTATCTTTCATGCCATACAGCTCAATCTCCCCATCCAAACTCCTCACCTCCTCTTTCGCCTTCAGCTCTTCCCTTCTCATATCTTCCGGCCTGTCTTTTAAAATGGTTCGCATGTCTCTTCTCTGGGCTGTGACGACCTCAGACGATTCATAGCATATGCTAATGAGCTTCCTAAGCCTCACACGCAAGAACTGGACTTCCATACCCAGACACTCAAACCCTTTAAGGGTTGCATCCCATGATTCCAGATGCTGACAACCGGGGTATGTTGTGAGCCTCAAAGCTCTAATGGCATCTGCTCTATTGATGGTCTCTCAGAGATGATGCTTGCAATGAGCTTGCAGTTGAGGCCTTGAATCAGGTGTTGGTGGAGATATGAGTTTTGGGCTCGGCAGAGCTGAAAGTACTTCTCCCTCACGCATTTTGGGATCTTAGAATCAATGAATAACCCGTTGGCGAAGATGTGGAAGCTCTCAAAGTCTTTCATCTGAGAAGAGCTAGGAGCCGATTCTGCAAGTTTCAGTCCACCGCCACTGTTTTCATCTCCATCTTCAATCTCCCTTTTCCTGGTAAGTAGCAAGCACGCCTGCTGGTTTTCTGCACCCAATAAAAAATATGTTTTTTCCGTTAACAATAAGAAATAACTAGCAAACATTATTTGCACATTGCTTTTCTGAGCTTTTAATGATTGAAGTAAAAAGGGAGACATATTACCAGTTGAAGCTGGCTGGTGACTTAAATTTAATAGGCTAATGGCTGCAGAGTTAATGTCTGTTGAGACCATATCTAATTCTCTGACAATGTACACCTGAAAGAGGTAGCATGAGTAACAAAACAGAAATGATTAAGTATAGTTAATTGCAACATGTTGAGTTTATTCGCCGCAGCCCGGAAGTTCAACACGTCTTCCGGGAGGGTTTCATAGCATGTTGATGATAACAAAATATAAACAATGATTTTAACGTGGAAACCCGAAAGTGAGAAAACCACGGGACTTTTTAGGCTAATGTCCAAGCCACTCTCATTCTCATTAGGCTCTTCTCACCATTTACATAGTACAAGTATGAACCTTGGTAGCCATTAACCTAGACAGATTATAAGTTCTGGCATCTTTGTTTCTCCTACCTATCAACTTCAAACTCACTTTGGCCTCGCTACCTTCAACAATCTTGTCTCTAACCATCCTAAATGACTTCACCAAAATGTTATGTTCATCCAGCATTCCTCTTAATGTAGACACGATCTCTGCGTTCAAATTGTTCTTTTTGGCATCGTCTCTCACAGAACTCAAGTGGTTAAGATCCTCGTGTAGTCGTGTTGTGTGTCATATATGTAGTTGGGCAAATTTCGGGACACTTTCTTCTTGTGGCAATAGGGACCCTATTAGATGATAATTCTGACCACTAAGTTTAAAAGTTGGTGGCCCCCACCCCTGTTAACTACATTATTTATCCTCTCACCTATCGATGTGAACGAAAACATATATATGATCTGATATTATGTTGGAACTGTTTACTCCTGGGATATGTCCCGTTAATCAAATCATATAATTGAGGTGGGGGTCCTTTAGTTTTGGCAATGCAATTTTTCCTTGCGTGGAATAGAGAGAGTACTTGGGGTTGGTTTTTGTAGAATTCGAAGTGTCCTCTCGTCAAACCAGAAAAGTGCTCCATAGTGGGGACAATTATGTGGTGGGTCCCCAATGTCACAATATTCAACACTTACTGTGTCTAGAAGGAGAGGTTATGAAGCAATCTTAGTATGGATTAACGTAAAGAAGGTCCATCACTTGACAAAAATTTAAAGTAACAAAATAATAGTTATAACGATGTATTAAACTTGGTAATTTGATATTACATTTATATTTTAAATATTTCCACTACAAAATATTGAATACGAAGTACTTTAAAAAATTAACGAAGTACTTACAAAGTACTTTAATTTGGCTAAAAAATAGTAATTTTGGTTAACGAATTGCTTTTAAAAAATGAAATTATAAATTCAACTACATCACTAAAAAAAATAAAAACCTCAAATAAAAAGATAACAGTTATAACAATCACACCTTCGACTTGATGTAATTGTGATGGAAGTTCATCCTGTATGCGTTGATACTTCGTCACACACATGCTGGTAGTCGAAAAGACACATTTGAGCATTGCCCTTTATTACTGATATTCGTTGTCCTCACACTCGAAGAACGATTAAATGGCAAATACGAGACTGTAGAAGTAAATACAAATAGTAAGAAATATCATAAAATATGTATTGACATTATATAATTGCTAATACAAATAGTAAGAAGTAAGAAGTACCATTTATTCTATCAACGAAAACATCTGATGATCCATTGTGATGACGCAACGAACGTTTGTGAACATTATGGTCAACATTTTCTGTCCACAAAGGCAATTAAATACAAATATACCGTCACTTACATGATCCCAATACAATAAACTATTTCTATTACAAGATTCCAATACAATAGATTATTTCTATATGCCCTAAACTTTTATGCTTAAGGCAATTAAATACACACATGCCCTCAATTACTATTATTATTTTTAGGAAACGTGACTCACTTGCTCTTTAAAGTTGAACCTTATTTTAAAAAAATAAAAGAAAACCTTTTATTTACAAATCTTACTTCCGTAAGGGTCATTATTATATGAATTTTTTGATTTTATTATTATCATTACCATTATACATATTACAAATTATATTTTTTAATCATTAAAAATAACTTAAGAATTTTAGGTCATATAAATAGTCTCAAAATCCAGCTAAGTTTTAACCCATCTGAATACTTATTTTCAGCCCGTTTGAACCTAAGTAAGAAACTTAATAAAATAGATGAGACATTACTTAGCTTTTAAACCAAATTGAGCCCAATTCAGAAACCAATCTAGCCCAATTTCGACCCAGTCCAACTTATTCTATTTAATCCGTCCAACCATTATTGGTATTAAATACAGTATAACTATACGTATTTAAAACCCACCTAACCCCCCAAACCCTAACAATATATAACTTTGTTTATACCAATACTTATCATTCCAGACCTTTCTAATACCCATCGGTCTCTTTATCTCTCTTCCTCTATCTTTCTCTACGCTCCGTGTGTCGATCTTCCTGTCTTTCTTCTACAATATGTTTAGTTCTCTTCTATGATATAACATCTATCATCTATACGCTGTTCATTGACATCCGACTGTGGATGTGTATTTTAACATGTCAACGAATCAAAGGATTGTAGTCCTTTTTCGATTCAATGAACGGTATAAGCGATTCTTTATAATTTTTTTTCACAAATTTGTTTTAGTTTTCAGTATTTCTGTAATGTATCAGCTAGTTTCTCAACGATTCATCTGATGATCGATGTGTTCTTTCACATGTGAGGGGATCGAACGACTGTACTCTATGAGTTTTTGTTTTTTATTTCAAATGTTTTTGGACCGTTGTTCTCGTTTTTGCGTTATTTTTAAAAAATCATTGATCAGATATGGAATTTTGAGTAGATCTATCTAGATCTCTGAATTTGTGGTTCGTGGATGTTTTAATATTAATCATTGATAATTTTTTCTGCATTTAGATCTATTTAGATCTATAAATTTTGGCTTCGAACACGTTTATATAAGACATATAGCATTTGTTGCGTTTAGATTTAAGGATCTATGCAGTTGTAATGCGTATACGTCTTAATAGATCTAGATCTGTTAGATCGATCTTTTTTTGCGTTAATTTTTACGTTTATATTTAAAAAGCATTGCCCATACATGGCTTTCTGAATAGATCTATCAAGATCTCTGAATCTGCGGTTTGTGCATTTTTAATATTAAACAGAGATCATTTCTGCATCTAGATTTGTTTAGATTTATATATTTTGGGTTTGAACACATTTTTAAAAGACATATACCATTTTTGCGTTTAGAAATGATTCATGTTACAAATTCTTAGGTAATGTTGCCTCGAGTTATGCAATCAAATAAGATGCCTACAATCATATATGCATAAAAGTACTTGTTGTTCAGTTTTAAAATCCGATCAGATTTCCTTGGTATCATAGTAGATGCATCTACCCATGGTGCACAATCTTTGCATAAGTACTCCCCAAACTTTCTATTCTTGTTTATTTGCCTCATGCAGAAAAAGTGACTATAGTTTGAATGACAGCATGAGCATGCATCCAGTAAAAAGCCCACACAACGTTTTCCACACGTGTAGCATCCCCCGATTGAATATACTTCACATGAACACTCACTCATCTTGAAAAGCTAGCATGCAACATAGGTTATGTAAAATACAATCATAAACGTAATGCATGACATGTCATTTATCTATTTGGTTATATGGCTCATGGTATTTGCATAATAATGTGTTCCAAATGGAGATAGTAAATGTTATATCAGACTTACAATGGATTAGGATTCAATGGCCTATGGTAGATATATGAATTTCACTCCTTGTGAGGGCTGTTCTGCTTCGAAGGTTTGTCCTGTCTCATAAATGAATTCATGTGGTAGTGGTTGAAGCATTGAAGAGTATTTATGTTTTCCACAATGTGAAGATGGTCAAATACCGTTGGTAAGTAGCCATTTCTGTCAAACATTTA